CGAAGGGGTCATTTTGTTATGAAGGTAATTTTGGGCAACGCCCATATGCAGAGTGGACCAGTGGAGTTTGATGACCCAGATCCCTCACCTCAACACCAAGGATGATCCCACATGGCATTCAAAAAGTGCTGAAACTGTTGAAAGCTATCCTATGAGGTCCCAGGCGCCTACGCAGGGAAGGTGCCCAATGCAGGGAAGGCAGGCTTTTTGTGATCTTAATCTTTATGGCAGTTCCTGTAGAATCCTCAAATCTCTTTGTAATCCCGACGTACCCCTAGGGTCCCAGATGGTAGCCCCAGTTTGGACATTGCCATGTGAGTTCGAAGGGAAAAGGCAGATATTCTTGGGTCTCTCAACTGCGGGAATGGAATCTTGGAAGTTTGGCGGATGTATCTTTGGATTCCAACGCTTCCCAATGCCTGGGCACCTCACAAGTAGGAAGGTAGGGAGCTTCGAACGGGATGCTAGGGAGAAAGAGGAGCTTTGACACTGCAAATCCATCATGATTCAGAATGTAGAAATGGCTTGATCAAGAGGCAAAATCGCGGGACAAGATGACAGATGCATCCACAGAACTTCGAAACTACCAAATTACATGGGTTCAGCGCGGCGACAACAGTTCAGCTCTTCAGAACTTCATAGGAGCATCAGTCTCAGCATCAAGGATATTGGGCACAAGGCCAACAGAACAGCTACTACAGTACAATGAATCAAGGTGTGAATGCTAACATGAGCCTCAGATAGTTTGTGCGGCACTTCGCGCTTTCTAGGTCTTCGGGTAGGCGGTACTGATGTTCTAGCTTTTGGCTTCTGGTGTATTGCCTACAAGAAAATCCGAACAAGCTAAGAACAAAGACAGACTGTGATGATTCACTGGCGTAGAAGCTTCAATCATTGCCATCATTGACCCCTTGCAAGTACGATTTTTATACTAGTTGTACAACATACCACGAAGCCCTCTTCAAATGAAGTAGGTTCTGACATTCTTTGCAAAAAAGTGGCCTTTCAGATAGGAATTCTTTTAATTTTCCCACTCTGGGACAAACCAGAAGGACCTGAATGCATGTAGAACGAGCATTCACGGATGTACACATCGATATATGTATTTCCACTCATCAACACAGAGACCCGCATTACCACCCAAATGTCAATTTCCAATATGGTTCTTTTTCTAGGGTTGACGAACGACAAAGGAGCTTCCTATCTGGACCCCACGCCCTAAGGGTCCAAATAGCCCGAGGGTTAGGTACTATTTGTAGTCTTTGGGGCCCATTGCAAGTATTCCTTTTAGACTTAGAGCCCCAAATTAAGCCCTACACTCCGAAGGCCGGGCATCGGACGGACGGCTTGGACCCCTCAGACCTCGCCCGTTTGGCCGCCTGCGGCGCAGGCGGCTGAGGTTAAGCACAGTGGAGGCGGAAAAGTGGCGAAGGAGGCCCTGCAAAGGTTCTTATACATCCCCTAAACCCTAAACCCTAAACTAAACCCACTTTGTCTGCGAGAGTGGATGAAAGGGGCGATCAAAAAAAAAACTAGGGTTTAGGGGTTTAGGGTTTAGGCATTTCCTGAATCAATTTGAGCATTAGAGATTTCAATATGCGTGTTTACAGGTTCCATGTAGAGTATGCTGGTTGCAGAGGACAGCCAGTCGAATTGTGTGGTCTCCTTCCCGCACCGTCCCCGACTGAATTTTGCAAGCGCATGAAAGTCACCATCTCCAACAGATACCACTTATAGTTTAAGAAGCCAGTGGTCGATATTGCAGGGATCAAGGTTGTGCTGATCTTTCTGTTGGTCCGGAGGTACGACAGGTTTTTCAACAAGACGTGAAGCGTAAGTTCTGCTGCAGCACGAAGTTTCTACTTCGATCATGCATACCTCTTCACGCAGAACTGTGTCCCATGACAGATGCACTGAGGAGGATTTCCCCGGCAGCTGTTGTCATAATTCCCGAGCTGGAGCCCAGTGATACAAGAATGGTTCGACCCTTAGCAGCTGATACCGGTTCCAGAAGTACGCAATCATTGCAAGAAAGAGCATGGGGCCCTGCCGGTACTGACCCAAACTACTACAGCTGCTGCAGATAAACTGGGTGGCTGTTGTGCGCTTGCGCAACCGCAGGGTTTGAATGACACCACCAGAGGGCTGCTGTGGGAGTTATCTTAGTGCCACAATCCACCTCCCAGAGAAAGGGTTTAGAAGGAGGGTCCATGAGGTACTTGGTTTTGAAGGTACTGTACTTTGGGTGGACAGTCCTTTCAACTGTTGGTGCCTGCTTCTGAAATTCCCATGCGCAAGGAGCTGCGCAGCAGCCCTCCTGGTGTTGATGTCAGTTTTGCATACGCGAGTGATGTCTACCAGAGGTCCAGCACATGCAGTCTGGAATTTCGAGCCAAAAATCTGATGTGACGATTCTCTAGCCTTGATAAGCAAGGACTGGGGACAGTTTGTAGAAATTCAACCAATGGTCAGCAAGGTCTCTGTGAAGTCTGTTTGCGCAAGCATTCCTCATTGTAGACGGTTTCCTGCCTACTCCTGTTTCGGGGCTTGCTAGGGCAGAAGCAGGAGGGGTTGCAGTTTTGCCTCGGACCTAAAAGCCTTTCGGAGGAGGAGCTCCTGTGAGTTTTTTCGCAGCATTTCCGCCAACAATCCGATCGCTGCTGGACCATGGCAGATGGAAAGCGTGTAGCAATGACGCTGACCAGGCCGAGCGCGGCCAGAAAGACCTGGGGTTTAGAAGGAGACATAGATTGACATAGAATCATAAAGGGCTCTATAGGATCGTACATGGTTCTATAGGGTCAAATGGGGCTATATGGAGAGTGTCTAGAGTGGCACAAAGAAAGAGATCTTTGCCGCGCGGGTAGTTTGCACAGACGTGCTGCGTGAGTAAAAAAGCTGAAGCCTGCTACCGGCAGCCAAAGCTCACTTCAAAGTTGGACTCCGGCATATCCAAAACCTGCTTATCGTGATTCCTGCCCCTGAGCAGCAGAAAGAAGGGACCGCACCCTAGTCTGATAGTAGGAAAACCTACTATCTACTATTTACCAATATCATGGTAACTCAAAGCCCTAGACCCTATATGCTATCATGGCCATGCAAGTGGCAAAATGCTATATGTCCATATTATGGTCACTTAGTTTAAGTTCCTTAACAGCAACCCTTGGGACTTGGGACCTGACCATGACGGAGGCGAGGGAGCAGAGGCGTACCTCCGAGAAACTTCCGAATCCAAGGTAGCGGGACCTACTCCAGGTATATGGGGAGCATATAGGGTTTAGGGCTGAGTGATATAAGGAATATATTGGGATCATATAGGGATGATATGGGCGTATATAGGAAATCATGGAAAAATGGAAATAACTGTTTCGTGAGGTATATCGGGATAATAATGGGGTATATATAGAACAAAAAAGAACATGGCATCTACAATAGTAAAGGGGTTTTTCCGTTCACAATTCTGGGCACAACTGCTTTGGTCAGCAGATCTCGGTACACGCAACGCTATTTCAGCCTTGAAGTGGATCAGGCGAGGAAGCTGCCAACATCCTCCTTGCATGCGAAGTGTAATGCGCTTGCTGTTTTGTTTAGCGTAGGTGGAAGATAATCGTGATTATGTCTGGGTCCTCCTAATGATGTATATTAATACATTTGGATAGAGCTTTACGCCGATTTGGATGTATGGGTATCAAACTACATCAGAATATCAAACAACAAAGCCTAAATCTCTTACTCCAGCTGTTCAACCCAACACTCCACGCCCAAGCGCCTGAAAGCCGTCGTCTTCCGCAGTCCGCAGCCATTCTTGTAAATTCCAGCCCTCCACCACGCAGAAGCCAGAGAGATGCCGATCTACGATGTTGTCGCGCCTCGGGCATCCGTCCGAACATGTACTTTTGGAGTGTCCTGTTTTGATTACAAAAGTATGGGATCTATACTTTAATTAAGTGATGCACATTTCGCAGTGCATGCTGGAATTCATCACGCAGAATTTGTCAGGCTTCGTCGAAAGAAAAATGATGCTAAGGTCCTTGGCCCGATCGAAGGAGTATTCCTCGATGAAGGGGCCTTACTTCATTCCAGCAACCACTACACCTTTCCTGTCACCCCTAAACCCTGACAAACCCTGACTTCTGAACCCTATGACAGACTATAAACCAAAACCCAAGACCTCATCCCCAAACTCACCACCGGAACCTTCAAAGTCTGAACTCTAAACTCCACAACTTATTCCCAAAACACCCTAGGCTCTAGAAACCACCTGCAACTGCAACGAGAACTCTGCAAGGTGCTGGGCGCCACGGGCTTCACTGGGCGCCTGGCCTGCGAATACCTGGCAAACCGAGGCCCGTAAGTCGAAAGAGTTAAAGACCCAGAGACGGGATACAGGGGGTTGTGTAGGGTACGTTGGGATGGTATGGAGGGGTATACGGTTTATAGGGGGGTAGTATAAGGGTCCAGGGATAGTGGGAAACTGGGATTTCGTAGCCTGTAGGTGGGCAAGCATCCATAAGATATAGCCACGCAATATCCTATAACTATGGCATATAGCCCTAGGAAGGAAAACGCAATCAAAAGCCAGGCAACATATCAACACTGTCGTATGGTTTGCTAGATCTTTTACTATAGATACCAGTTTTGTTCGTAATCTGCCTGCCTAGCCCCTGAGGAGTTTTTTCTGTAACGCGGCGGCTATAAACTCAAGAGGATCCCTGTCTTGGCAGGTCTGTATTCTCATCAAGGAGTTTGGGGTCATGTTTGCGTCCCTTCATTGTTGGAAACCACCATTTGCAAGAGCCCCATCTTAAGCCCTAGGGAAGGGATTCATCAATGAGCTGTCACGTCTTTCTGCTAGTGCTGCTTACGAGCTGGGCTTCTTATTGACAACTGGGCAGTCTAATGCGACCTCACCCGACCTCACCCTAAATGGTGGTTTATGTAGGGAACAATACCAAGGGTCCCAGGTTTTTTTTTTTTCCTAGGGTTGGCTCGGCTTGGGCTCTGGAGTTAGGGCTGGCCCCCTGGTCCCCGTGGTCCTTTGGTCCCGCA